TGTAAGCCGCCCTGAGTCCCCTCAGGGAAAAGGGCGGCATATAAATTTCCAATAAAATCCTAAAAAAATCCTAAAAATTGGCATTCTTATTTCTTCTGCTTATGATCTGACTTTTGTTTGGCAACTATTTTGATTTGCCACCGATCAGAAGGTGTTCTGGCTGATTTCAGTGATCAAACAAGGCTTTAAACTATCCTAGAATCTAGGAAGTCAAGCTTTCATAAGTTGCTGCTATGTACTCAGATCCTAAGAAGAAGCAAGAGATGCTGTGGCTCAGTGGCTGAAAGACGCTGGGGGATGGTCTCCAGTGGTTCAAGTCCTAGCACTGCATGGCAGGGTAAACTCTCATTCCTTGCCTCAACTTCTACCCACCTTGCAGTTTGAAAGCATGTTCTATGTGAGTACATAAGTAGGTGCCACTTCAGTGGGAGATAAGCTGATGCTTGATGCAGGCAGTCAAATTCCTGCTGGCTCTGGACCTTCCCAGTTGCAATGTCTATTTACGAGGTGGCTCTGGTGGAGGAAGGGGGTCTTAGGTGCAGGAAGAGCCATATGTCTTTGGTGCACCTTGGGAACTGCACAAGCGTGAACCTAATAGAGCTAGTAAGCAGGCAGCCAAACTACTATTCTGCATTAATACTGTAGTCTCCTGGCTAATGTAACAAAGCCATATTCTAAATAGAAAAAAGATTATGAAGAAGTGAAACCCAAACCAGATCATCTCTTCGTGATCCTGGCAATTCCTGCTATGTCCTACTGCTTCCTCCCACCCCAACATAGACTTCTTACCTGGCAATTCATGATGTCATATAGCAAGTCTTCCTTCTCCATGAGTGAGCCAAGAAATTTGAGAACTTGTATCTGATCAAATAGGCAATAAGATCCATTTTAGAAACTGCCATGTAGAAACAAGACCAGTCTAGCTTCCTTTACAACTGAAGCTCTCTAGCAAATAAAGAAGCACTGCTGCAATATTTGTTGCTGTTCCTGGTCATCTCCCCATAAGGGCTTTATTGCATCAATCTAGAGCACGGGTGTCAAACTCAAGGCTCGGGGGCTGGATCCGGCCTGCAGGTGCTTAGATCTGGCCTGCAGGGCCGCCCCGGAAACAGCGAAGGACCGGTCTGTAGTGCCTCTGCCAGCAAAACAAAAACCTGGGAGCAGTGGCGGATTAAGGCTCACTGGTGCCCTAAGCACTGACAAATCTTGGTGCCCCCCTCCTTTTTACATACTGTACAAATCTTCATTGTTGTTTTTTTCTTTCTCAACTTTGTGGTGCCCCCTTTGGGCCTGGTGCCCTAAGCACATGCTTAGTCTGCTTAATGGTTAATACACCACTGCTTGGGAGGGTCACATGCAGCTTCTGAGCTCCATTTTCACTGCAGAGGGTTGCAGGAGACTGTTATAGCCAAAAATGGAGTTCGGGAGCCCATTTTCACTGGCAGAGCACTTGGGCTACCACAGGCGCCACCACACAAGTGACGTCAGGCTGACCACCCCCAAGGTGATCCCACAACCTGATGCAGCCTTCAATGAAATCGAGTTTGACACCCCTGATCTAGAGTCATCCAACTATTATAAGTCAAAATAACCATAAAGAGCAGTGACGTGCGGTGAGGTTTATACCTGGTGAGGCTCAGCTGGGCATCCTTTTGCGAAGCAGCTCAGCAGGGCAGGGGTCGGCCTCGGCGGGGGGGCAGGGAATTTGCATCGCGGGAGCAGCCAAGCGCCCGGGTCTGCAGCAAAGGCGCTTGGCGGCTCCCGCGATGCAAAGTGCCCCGCAGTCCCCGATGCTGCTGCCCGCCTGCTGCCCCGGCCTGCTTCTCCAGGCTCTGCCGCTGGAAGTCCCGGATCGCCTCTGGGGGAAGGCTGGGTGAGAAGTGGAGCGAAGCTTCTCTGCGGCCTCACGGCGCTGCGCAGAGGCTCTCGCAGGAGTGCGTGCCAGCGGCCAGCGGCCCGGAGCGGCCCCGGCTGCGAGACAAGGCAGCGCTTAAAGCAGCCGCTTTAGCCCTCCGAAATAACCCGCCCAACGTAAGCGTGCTCAAGAAGACATGATTCGCTGCTTCCAGATCAG